TATATATTATTAATATTAATATTAATAATATTATTATTATTAATATTTTACTCCCTTGCAAAATTGCACGGGAGTGGGCAGTTAAGTGACGTGGGGTACTGCTTTTGTTTGTTGTTTTTTTTGCAGTTCTGCAAGAACAGAGAACACAGAACAAAAGAAGGAAAACTCCCAATCCCTCTCAAGTGCTCTCTCAATACTCCCTCTCGTTCCAAACAGTGCTCCTACAAGGACGATCCCGAGACCCAAGAGAATAGCAAGGAAGATTCTCTGGTGGTGTTCGTAGGAAATCAAATTGAAGAAGTGTTCTTCAAAGGTAAGGAAAAACAAGTTTTTCCCCTGTGTTTTAATTTTTGTAAGTTTTGGTTTTGTTTCTCAAAAATCTAGAACGATGGTCCGCTTCCGCTCCGGGATTCACATCCCTTCATTTACTCCTCTCTTACAGAAGAGAAAAATGGGAGAAATCATTTCTTTCTCAACAACTCGGGATATATGGGAATCGCTGTGCCGAGCTTATGAATCTACCTCTTCTACTCGAGTTCTTACTCTCAAGTCTCAACTGCAAAGTATCAAAAAGGACGATATCTCCGTCACACAGTATATGGCCAAGATGAAGAAGTGGCGAACAAACTCTCATCCATTGGGGAGCCGGTATATTTAAAGTATCATATTGCTTGCATTTTACAAGGTCTTTGATCTGAATACAATGCGTTTGTCACATCAATGTCAATCCAAAACCGTGCAGAACTCCTTCCACTTGAAGACATCCGAGCTCTTCTTCTAAGCTACGAGTATCGTTTAGATGCCAAAACTCCGTAGATCAACTAAATGTTGTTCAAGCTAATTTTGCAGGTTTGCAGATGCAGCAATCCACTAAGGCACGCCAAGGCTCTCGGTTTCCCTCTCAAACCACTTGTAACGCCCCGAGTCCCTCAGGTTAGTCTCAAATTAGGAGATTTTCATTCAATTTTAAATTTAAACTTTAATTAAATTTATGTATATCGTGTTTCGCGTGATGGGTTTTATCTTAGGTTGGGACGGGTTTTCTTCTTTTGGGCTTGTTTATGTTGGGCTTTTAGTGGGTTGGTTTGGTTTTTAAAACAAAGGCAAAGAAAATAAAAATAAAAATAAAAGAAAATAAAA